ATGTCAGGTTTGCTTCTGGAGGGATGTGGCATTGCAAAGATTGAACCAGTTCTGGGGAGAGCCGTAGGGTGCTCTTCTTTGGTGAAATAACTCCCACTCTAACTGCTGTAATAAAGGCTCTACATAATGGAAGGGACCTCCACTTTCCCAAAGTGGAGCTTCCCATATATAGCCAAAGAGCGGCAGACAGAAAAACAGCAGCTTTTTTGCCCTAAGACCTTTGGGAATCTGGTCAGGGAAATCTTATTGTCATGGGCAGTTCTGTACACTAGAAGGGAAAAAAATGGGCTCTTGTAACCAAAGAGCGTACTAGCGACATGAGTGTTTCACTCCATGATGTCACTATTGTTCTGCTGAAACTGTGCAGGGCAGCAGATAGCATCAACTAGTAGAGAAAACCTCAAACAACATCAACTAGCAGAGAAAGTGGCAAACAGCATCAAGGAGAAAGCCTCAAAACTCTAGCTGCCTGTTCTGAGTATTGTAGAGAACAGTTTAAATGTCATCTCAGTTAAAATGTTAACTGCCAGCTTGTTTGATTTAATATTCCCTTCTTTATGTTGGCCTTCTGATCATTTTATCAGTATTTTCAGCCTACAAGGTGTGGAAATGACTTGCTGAATCACTGCTGAGTGTTGTGGTGGGACTGGGAGCTGAGCTTGAGGGTGACTTGAACCCCACTCATTTCGCTAGTCTGCAAACCATCAGTGCCCATGCTTCACATGAAGTGCCCTCATGAAGCGGTTGCTGTGGAGTCAGCAGATGGAAGAGGTGCGGCTGGAAGGGCTCTTAGGGATGGAGAACGGTCATAGTATTTGTCTTGGGAAGTGGAAGACAAGAAAGAGTAACCTCTGGGTGTTTGCCAAGAACTCAGTGGTCTGACTGTTTTATGCCAGCAGTTTATGCTCTTAGAGATGGGAATCTGAGTTACCGTTGTGCATCTTGCAACCCTATTACTGGTCTTGGTGTTGCTATCACAGGAAGTTCACTTCAACTGTTGAAACACTCATTAATAAGATTATCTGACATGACCTCCACAAAGTTGGGGCAGACAGGGATGAGGACGTCACAGGTGGTTAGACCACAGTTCATCAGAATGGCACAGGGATGCACCAGGCTCTTCTATTCTTTGTGGTCTCTTTGGTCTCTCCAGCTTAGTCTGGGAGGTCTGGATGGCACGTTTCAGAGGTTGATGTTGAACGCAGCGGCTACCCACAGGTGACATGCTCATTGCAATCAAGTTGTCCTGTGCTGCAAATTCCACTGGCTCCTCTTGCCTTCCCAATCCCAACAGACATTAGTGACAGCCTAGGTATGCTGTGGTACAGCACCTGGGTCTCCTGGAGATGACTTTGCTTTTCTTCACAGCCTGGGGCACTTGCACACCTGCAGCTGGATAGTGTTTGCAGGACCTGGTGAAGCTGGCCAGCGTTGTTTAATATCTTTATCAATGAGTGCACCCTCAGTAAGTTTGCAGGTGACACCAAACTGGGTGGGAGTGTCGGTCTGCTGGAGGGTAGGATGGCCCTGCAGAGGGACCTGGACAAGCTGGACCGATGGGCCGAGGCCAACTGTATGAGGTTTAACAAGGCCAAGTGCCAGGTCCTGCACTTCGGTCACAACAACCCCACGCAACGCTACAGGCTTGGGGAAGAGTGGCTGGAAAGCTGCCCAGTGGAAAAGGACCTGGGGGTGTTGGTCGACAGCCGGCTGAACATGAGCCAGCAGTGTGCCCAGGTGGCCAAGAAGGCCAACAGCATCCTGGCTTGTATCAGGAATAGTGTGGCCAGCAGGAGCAGGGAGGTGATTGTCCCCCTGTACTCGGCACTGGGGAGGCTGCACCTGGAATACTGTATCCAGTTTTGGGCCCCTCAGTACAAGAAAGACTTTGAGGTGCTGGAGCGTGTCCAGAGAAGGACAACGAAGCTGGTGAAGGGTCTGGAGCACAGTTCTTATGAGGAGCGGCTGAGGGAACTGGGGTTGTTTAGCCTGGAGAAGAGGAGGCTGAGGGGAGACCTTATCGCTCTCTACAACTGCCTGAAAGGAGGTTGCAGTGAGGTGGGTGCTGGGCTCTTCTCCTGAATAGTTAGCAATAGGACAAGAGGAAATGGGCTCAAGCTGCGCCAGGGGAGGTTTAGGTTGGAAATTAGGAAAAAATTCTTCACGGAAAGGGTAGTCAAGTATTGGAACAGGCTGCCCCGAGAGGTGGTGGAGTCACCATCCCTGGAAGTGTTCAAAAAACGGGTAGATGTGGCACTTCGGGACATGGTTTAGTCTAGTCTACCCTTAATTGGTTTAGTGTGGACTTGGTAATGTTAGGTTAATGGTTGGACTGGATGATCTTGAAGGTCTTTTCCAGCCTAAATGATTCTATGATTCTAAGCTGTTGTGCTTGTTGGAGGGTACAAGGACAAGCTTGAAGCGTGGCAGTGGTGACTGATAGTGTTTTTGTGGAGGAAGGAAATCACTGAAAACAAAGAAATACCTTATATGTTGAGCAGGGGTGCTGTCTGGGTGGCACATTCTCAACTGGCAAAATGGTCTTATTTTGTTTGTGCATATTTGGGTGGTGGTGGCCTGGTCTGTGCTTGAGATCAGGTATCATAGTAGTATTTGAGGTATTTAGCCATCTGTGACATACTTGATCCCAATCACAGAGCCACTGGGAGCTACAAAGCAGTAAAGCCACACCAGATGCTCAAAGGTCGGGTGTGGAAACGGAGACCTGCCCTCAAGTATACCTTCAGCATTTTTTTTAAGTATACCTGCTGCATTTCTTCTTCCTGTACATACGCTGGAGTTCTCTGCCAGTATGATGTCAGTCAAGGACACGTCTCACTGATTGTACATTTCCCCTCCCAGGACTGGCGAAACTGCACTTTCCAAGTACTTCTCATTTGACTTGGAGGCGGAGGTGCAGGGCATGTGTAACAGTAGTGACGTGCACCGCTGCCGCTGTGGGTGTGTGGGCAGCTCTGCAGCAGTGCGCCCACATTCTCAACTGGCTGATGCTTGTGCATGTGTGAAGGGCCTGAGGTTTGAGATTGCTGCAGTATCTCAAGATCAGTATTCGGTTGTGGATATGAGATGGATGGGGTAAATCTCTTTGAAGAAAGAAGAAGCTGCCGACTGCAGCGTATGTGGGGGAGTTCATGTGTCAGAGCACTTTTGAAGGAGGTTGTTTTCCAGAAGTTAGATATATTTTTTTCTTAAGAAGCAGAGCAAATAGTCTGTCTGGTGCACCCCATCCAGAAGTGACAGCATGGGGTATATCTGTACTCCCTTGCAGGTGTGGGAAAATTCCCCTGGGGAGGGGTCAGGACCTCGTGGGACCCACTGTGTAAAGCTGTGGTGTGAGTTTGTACTCACACATGCAGTTTATCTGAAAAAGTTGTGAAACCCTTGGACAGGAGATCACTCTCAAGTGATGGGGCACTAAGACATAACGGGTAGAACTATACGGCTGCTGGAATTTCCTTTGCTTTTTCTTGGCAGTGGAGAGAGCGGTGCAGGGAAAACAGAGAGTACGAAGCTATTGTTGCAGCACATAATGAACCTATGCAAAAGCAACTCGCAGCTGGAGCAGCAGATCCTTCAGGTAGGTCATTACAGGATGGTGCCTAAAGGTTCAGAAGCAGCACTGCTGCAAGACAACTTGTGTTAGGCTCACAAAGCCTGCTGATGAATCACCACTGGAAGTCAGGGGGCAAAACACAAGACACATAAGAAAATAGTGGATAAGGATAGTGAAATAGCTGACCACAATTTAGAAGGGTTGGTAGGTCAGTAATTCTGTTTGCTGGGAATGTAGTGGTATCTTAAATGATAGAAAACTATTGTGATCATTTATCATGTTCTCTGTGACAAGGGATTAGGGCATTTTTCTGAATAATTTCCTGTTTGAGGTAGAACAAGGACTTTTATTAGAAAAATGAAGTCTTGATTTAATGATACACAGGGAGGGAGAATCCACACAGCCTTCAGTTACCTGTACTTGGCTACTTACTGTCAGGCACATACCTGCTAACTGGCTAACTTAATCTTTGCTATTGTCATATACCTTTGCCAGCTGATTTTGAAACATATTTGTCTCTTTGATCCAAAGTATTTCCACTTGAATTGCTCTTCAAGGAGTTGTGGGATTTTTTGAGCAAATCATACCTTAACCTTCCATGTGATCAATTAAGTAGAGTGAGTTCTTGGACTACTTCATTAAAGTCCGTGTTTTCTGGTTTCCTGTAGAACCAGAGAGACCTGTCTGTGCATGGTGGGTTAGCTTTGGCTGGACACCAGGTGCCCACCAGGCCGCTCGATCACTCCCCCTCGTCAACTGGACAGTGCGGGGAAAAACATGACAAAAGGCTTGTGGGTCAAGATCAGAACAGGGAGATCAACCAGCAAATTACTGTCACAGGCAAAACAGATTCAACTTATGGGAAATTAATTTAATTGATTGCCAGTTAACAACAGAGTAGGATAATGAGAAGTAAGAACAAATCTTAAAAACACCTTCTCCCCACCCCTCCCTTCTTCCTGGGCTTAACTTTACTCCTGAATTCTCTACCTCCTCCCCACAAGTGGTGCAGGGGAATGGGGAATGGGGGTTGCAGTCAGTTCATCACACACTGTCTCTGTCGCTCCTTCCTCCTTGCTCTCCACCCCTGCTCCAGCATGGGGTCCCTCCCATGGGAGACAGTCCTCCACAAACTTCTCCAACATGAGTCCTTCCCACGGGCTGCAGTTCTTCATGAACTGCTCCAGGGTGGGTCTCTTCCATGGGGTGCAGCCCTTCAGGAGCAGCCTGCTCCAGCGTGGGTCCCCCACGGGGTCACAATTCCTGCCAGCAAACCTGCTCCAGCCTGGGCTCCTCTCTCCATGGGTCCAGATGTCCTGCCAGGAGCCTGCTCCAGCGTGGGCTTCCCACGGGGTCACAGCCTCCTTGGGGCACATCCCCCTGCTCCAGCGTGGGCTCCTCCCCGGGCTCAGGTGGATCTCTGCTCCCCCGTGGGCCCCCATGGGTGCAGGGGCACAGCTGCCTCAGCAGGGGCTGCACCAGGGGTGCAGGGGAATCTCTGCTCTGGTGCCTGGAGCACCTCCTGCCCTCCTCCTGCACTGACCTTGGGGTCTGCAGGGCTGTTCCTCTCACAGATTCTCACCCCTCCCTTTGGCTGCAGTTGCGCAGCAATTTTTTCCACTTCTTCACTGTTATCCCAGAGGCACTACCACTGTCACTGACGGGCTCAGCCTTGGCCAGCAGCAGGTCCATCTTGGAGCTGGCTGGCATTGGCTCCATCAGATACAGGGGAAGCTCCTGGCAGCTACTTACAGAAACCACCCATGTACCCTTCCACTACCAAAACCTTACCAAGTAAAAACACTGTGCTATGCTTTGGGCTCTGGAATGGCATATTATTTTGGTGTGGTATCATCCACGCTGGATCTGAGGTGAATGCCTGTGCTCCATTGTGGGAATGTGGCATTGATACACCTGCTGGCTCCTGGGTCACACTGTCAAGCTGCTTCTGACCTGAGCAGGTTCAGGAAGCAGGACAGATGTATTTGCTCATCCTGGCCTAATGGACCCTGAAGGACTTGACTGGCAATTCTTGTAGCTAGCCTGCAATTTCTTCATTGGAAACAAAGTTCACTTCAATCCAGGTGAGCTGCCCTTGGAAAATTTAGAGGTGACAGAAGAAATAATAGTAGTTTTATTTGGTTCCTGTAGATATATTCAAGGGCCAAGTTAGCCCTTTTGGCTTTACAGTGTCATGCTGTAAAGCTGTGTTCAGTAGGTGGCCCAGCATGTACCCTAAGGCATCATTGTTCCAGTTGGCAGGCATTCTTTGCTCAAATATGGAAAACTTGTCATTTGACCTTGTTTGCATCCAGTTTACCAGGCTGGTCTGATTGGTCTTTTAGTTTCTTTATAATTCACTGTCCCGAGCCTTATGCTGTCTACAGATCTCAGTACCTATGTTGTCATGCTTACATTTACTGAGTGCCATGTTTACCTTGTTTATTGTTGTAGTACAGCAATCGAATTATCTAGTGATACCATGACAGATGCTTTCTGGGAATCTGTTATACCAACTTTATCTTTTAACAAATGAGTAAATGATCTTACTGAGATCAAATCAGTTTGATCATGCTTATTTTCAGTAATCTCATGCTGCTTAGTCTTTGTTATGTTTGCCTCTTCCACTTCTTTTATCCAAGTTAGGATAAAATAGGTGCTCTTGAGTACTCATGGAGTGGTTCCTATTCCAGCTGGATGCTGAATAGTAAATGCTGAAGTTAAACTTTTCCAAGTAAGTTAGATTGGATCACTTAATTTGAAGAATACTTGTTCTACTTGCTCACTTGTTTTAGGTAAATCCGTTGCTTGAAGCTTTTGGCAATGCCCAGACTGTGATGAATGACAACAGCAGCCGCTTTGGAAAATACATACAGCTGCGTTTCCAGAAGAATACAGGTAAAGTCAAGGGCAATTACTAGTTTGGGGGATGGTTAGGCACCGGAGGGAGTGGACTGAATAGCCAGAACTTGTGGAGAGTGAAATTTTGACACTTGACTCCCTGTGGAAGGGGTGTGCAATTAAGTAAAATCTTACAGTAACTACAGCTGTAGGATAAGGCCTGGGTTTGGACAGTGTGGGAGTGCAGGAAAGATATGGGGCTGATGGTGCAGGGGAGGTATCAGTAATACTCTATGGTGCCAGAAACCTTGGTTGCTGCTAAAGGAGATGAGCAGACATCTCTGAGATGATGGGAAGCATGGAGAAGCCCATTTCCACAGTGCTGGGCAGAGGGTGTTGTACACAAGAAAGTTATTTTAGACAATTCCATGCTCCTATCACCAAATCAGAGGTGCAGGACAGCTCAGTCGGCTTCATGTCCCCAGGTGCAATGTTCACCCTGTCACCTTCTTGTGTGCAGTGCGAGGTGCAAAGCTGAGTGAGTACCTGCTAGAGAAGTCACGTGTAGTGCAACAGGATACTGGGGAGAGGAATTTCCATATCTTCTACTACATGTTTGCTGGACTCTCTTCGGAGGAAAAGGAGATGTATGGGCTATTGGATCCTTCACTCTACAGGTACTTCAAAGGCAGACCCTAGTTTAGTCTTCATGATGGGGGATGGAGGGGAAAGCAGCATAATGGAGCCTGTGCCTCTGCCCTCTGGCTCTATCTGTGGAGCCTGGTACAGGTAAACGAATGGAAGCTGGAGTGGGATCTGAATGGAGCTGCATGAAGAGATCTTATGGGTCATCATGGAAGCTGGGAGGTCTGGAGTCTCTTTTTTGTTGCGTTACCATGGAAAAGTTGCTTTCCTTTCACATCTCTGCTGATGATGATCTGCTTTGGTCCTTTGGGACTGACTTGCTATACTGATATATGTAAAAAAGTGTGACAGTTTTGTATGGGATATACACTTTCTTAGGTACATAAGTGGACGATTTGGTACACAGGATGTAGCTCAGCACTGGAAGCACAAATACCAAGAGGTGTGCAATGCCCTTGACATGGTGGGCTTCCAAGAACAGGTCAGTTCTGGGGTCGTTTAATTTCCATCTGTACTTCCTGCAGGCATAGGATTTCTTTCCTGCTGCTTTTTTTAGGCTCAGTCCTATTTCTCTCCTCTCTGGATTTTCCATGTTGCTTCCAAACCACCTGAGTCTGTCAGACTTCGTGTAGAGCCTTTTCCCACAGGCTGCCTGTGCCTTTCCCTCAGTTCTCTGACTTCTGGGGCCTCCATGTTGCATATGTTACATGCTGATAGGTTTTCAGTCTCCCTTCTGTTGTGTTTTAGGAGCAAGTGGACATGCAGGCTATCTTGGCTGGTGTGTTGTCTCTGGGCAACGTGACCTTTGAGCCTGAGGAGAGCACTGGGTCTGTAAAAGTGAGTGAAGCCTCCCGGGGATGGCTGCAGGCTGCAGCGGTGAGTCACAAGAAAAACTGACAGAAACCTAATGGGTATGATGCTGGTTCCCACTGGCAGTATGACTGCAGGAGCTGCTCCTGCCAGAGATGGCACAGGACATTTCTGCCTCACAGTGTGAAGGGTCCTGAAGAGCAAGGAGTTTTTCCCAGAAATGCACAGTATGGCCCCACAACTGCATTTGTGTTCACTGCTGTTCATTCCCAAAGAGACACTTCCCAGCTTCTATTTCTCGCATGTCTAGAACCAGTGTCTTGCATATGTCAGTATTACACGTGTCTTGTTGACTTCATACAACACAAGCTTTTTAAAATGAAATGTTGTATGTTACTCAGTGTGATGAGGCCTTGAAGAAATTCAGGTGTGCAGTATCTGAACACTAGTTCTCTGGTTTTGACAGATCCTGTCCAAGGTTACCACCTTAACTGCTATCATTTTTTGTTGGTTATCCAGAATTAAACATTCTACTATTTCACATGAAATTATCGCAGACTAAGAAGTATATATTCCCCAGCACCATCCCATTTTTATTATATGGGATGGATACATTATCTTGCTTTGCTAACAACACAGAACAGAAAAGCATGACATATTTCTGCTTTTTCTGTGTCTTTTTATTTTGACCTATTTGAAATCCCAGCACCCTTGGTTTTTGGTTTCATTCTCATGTCTTTGCCTGTTTCCCTCCTACACCATACCTGAAACAACCACCTACATCTGTTCAGCAGCCAACTTCTTTTTGTCTTCTTAAAGTCTGCTCATTGTTTTTTGCCCACAGGAGGGGAATTCCTGTTAAAGCAGTCACTGAGGGGTTCGGTGGTGTTTGAGTTCCTTTTATTTCCTGTCTGTTGTGGGTTTCTGTGACTCTGATGTCTGCTGAAGCTCAGAACCCTCAGCACCTGCACAGTCACCTCTGTGTGGTGCTGTTCAGTAAGTCATTAAACCACTCGGCAGGGACTGATGTGGCTCCCAAAGAAGGTGAAAGGTGGCAGCACTGGGAGAACAAAACAGAAAGCATTTCAGAAAGAGCACAAGAGTGAGCTTGGTCACGGCAGGGATAATGCAGATCTCAGAGCCCGCATCTGACTCCAGTGCTGTGAGATGTTAAAAGTAGTATTTGCCTTACAGTGGAGCTCAAAGGCCTGAATCTGAATCATGACCCCATTACACTGGGTGTTGCACAGACACAAGGAGATGCAATCCCCACATGTAGAAAAAGGGTTTACTATTGACTGTCCTCATCTATTTCCTCTCTCCCAGGGTCAGTTTGGAGTCCAAGAAGATGAACTTTTAAAATGCCTTATTTGTACAATGTCAGTGACCCGAGGCGAGCAGATTCAGCGTTTTCACACCCAACAGCAGGCAGAAGGTAAGAAACGTAATGAATTGCAGATGTGCTGGCTAGAAAAAGTGACCAATATTTGGTGGAAGGGTGTCCCCACACATGTGCAGCTTGTTGAGAACAAAGATGTCTGTCCGTGCCCCTTCATTCCTCTTGCACAGAGGCAAGTATATCAGTGTTTATATGTTTAGTCTCTTACTGACATGTAGGTCCATGAATGCTGCTTTTGTTTGATCTCTAGGAGACTGCAGAGATTAAATGAGAAACCAAGGAATTAGCCTTGCTTTCTCCCTCAGTCCAGCCTAAAGGGAAACTCCATCTATATTTGTACAAAAGAGGGGAAGGCTCCTGTTGCAGCATGCTGGCAGTGTGCAGACCTCTAGGTAGTAGGTGGAGAAATAACTGAGAGAATCAATGAGATAGCACAGTATCGGGGAAGGAGTGAGGTGAAGGGAGTATATTAAAGTAGCAAGCACAAGGTGTTATTTTCCCTTTCAGTAAGAAAATAAAATAATCCAAGACAATCTGCACAAAAAGGTTCAGTTAAAAGATTTTAAAGATTTTTTAAAAAGGCATGAAATCCCAGGATTTCCTGGTTATTGCTTAAAATAAATGAAAGAAAAAACTGAAAATGGGGAATTAGCTAGTTGGGTTTCCCAAATGTCTTATTTTGCATCTCTCTAGACAATAAAATAAACATCTCCCATCAGTAGGTGCATCATGCAGTAGGTCATGTTGATTTGGTCTCCTTCTTCTTAGAACATCAGCAAGTTTTCCATCAGTTGCACCCTCCTCTTGCCCACAGCGTTTAAACACTTGGCAGCTGTGGGCTAGGAGGAACAGAACCATTCAATTTTCCAAGTACAACTTGGGGCCTCTCACTTGGTTTAGCAGTGAGCAGATCCATACTCAGTAGACCTGCAGAGGGGAAAGCAAGTCTCTGGCTATTCTGAAAAGTGGCTGGACTTTCAGAAAGGAAATTTTCCATTTTAGTTGGTCTCACAAGTGCCCTAGTATGCCATATCTGATCATGTAGAAAGATTGTGAAGATTTCAGAATGAAAGAGCTGGTTTTGAGCTTACAGAGGGCAGGGACAATCAGATACCAAATATTTATCTGATCTTTAAAATAGCTTCATAAACCACTAGACATTGTTGCTAGAGGTGGATGTATTGAGCCAGCTTGTGTGCTGTGTTCCCTGCTCTCCTTGAAGAGCTTCAGTGAGCTGCTGTTGTTCTCTCTGTGCAGATGCTCGGGACTCCATTGCAAAGGTGGCATATGGCCGAGTATTTGGCTGGATCGTTTGCAAAATCAATGAGCTGCTGGCTGAGAACGTGGATCCTGAGGTGGAACTGAGGGAGATAGGTGAGTCCTGCTTGCCTTGCTCCTGTTCTGTCCTCAAATGTGCGACCCTCAGCCACGACGAAGGAAAGGCACAATATGAGGTTTTGCAGAGATTGCATGCAGGGATCCATTATCAAAGACATGATCATGGTGGAGATGCTAGTCAGCATCATGAAGTCTGTAGGGCCTTGGCCAACTCTGAGCAGTTGGTTGGTCTGAAGCTACTGTGAAGCTGTAGTTCTGGGGCACTCTGGCTTTGCAGAGGAGCCGGGGGTGGCAGTGGGGCTTCTCCTAACTAGTTCTTCAAGAGGAGTTATGGGAGAGGTGCTGCTGGTGACTTGACTGGGGTTTCCCTATGCCAGAAGAGCTGGGTGGTGGGAGATTTAGTTGTGTGTTGTGGTACGCAGCTGTCTGCTGGGATGGTCTGTGGGCTCCATGATGTGCTCATCTTCCCTCTTTTAGGTATCTTGGATATTTTTGGATTTGAAAACTTTGCAGTGAATCGTTTCGAACAGCTTTGCATAAACTTGGCCAATGAGCAGCTGCAGCACTTCTTCAACCATGTAAGTCTGCTGCGGGTGATCTCACCTTATGTGGCAGAGAAAGCAGAGCACTGATCTACCTGGCATATGAAGGCATTGCCTGGGAGGACAGAAATGGTGATTAGTGAAGCAGGGTAGAAAGCAGCAACCTTCCCTGCTGTGTTAGGAGAGCCACTGGGGCAGGGAAGGAAGAAGAGACAACAACCCCATGCAATGCTACAGGCTTGGGGAAGAGTGGCTGGAAAGCTGCCCAGTGGAAAAGGACCTGGGGGTGTTGGTTGGCAGCCGGCTGAACATGAGCCGGCAGTGTGGCCAGGTGGCCAAGAAGGCCAACAGTATCCTGGCTTGTATCAGGAATAGTGTGGCCAGCAGGAGCAGGGAAGTGACCATCCCCCTGTACTCGGCACTGGGGAGGCCTCAACTCAAATACTGTGTCCAGTTTTGGGCCCCTCAGTACACGAAAGACTTTGAGGTGCTGGAGTGTGTCCAGAGAAGGACAACGAAGCTGGTGAAGGGTCTGGAGCACAGGCCTGATGAGGAGCAGCTGAGGGAACTGGGATTGTTCAGGCCGGAGAAGAGGAGGCTGAGGGAAGACCTTATTGCTCTCTACAACTGCCTGAAAGGAGGTTGTAGTGAGGTGGGTGTTGGTCTCTTCTCCCAAGTAGTTAGCAATAGGAAGAGAGGAAATGGGCTCAAGCTGTGCCAGGGGAGGTTTAGATTAGATATAAAGAAAAATTTCTTCACAGAAAGGGTTGTTAAGCATTGGAACAGGCTGCCTAGGGAAGTGGTTGAGTCACCATCCCTGGAGGTATTTAAAAGACGTGTAGATGTGGTGCTTTGGGAGATGGTTTAGTGTGGACTTGGTAATGTTAGGTTAATGGTTGGACTTGGTGATCTTAAAGTTTTTTTCCAACCTAAATGATTCTATGATTCTAAGTAGGAGGGTCAAGTAGTGACCAAAGTTGGCAGGGCGGGGACACTTACACTCTAAGAAGTGTTCTGCTTTACGCACCAGCATCAGTGAAGGACAGGCCTATGGATGAACATGCAGAACAGCAGTTTCATCTTGGGCCTCTCATGCCGTGAGTGAGAGAGCCACGCCTCTGCCCTCTGTTCAGGGTGGGAAGGAAGGTGTTCAGGGTCGTCTAGCCAAATCTGCTGCATGCATCAACCTCTTTTCTCTCTGTTTCAGCACATTTTCCAACTGGAGCAGGCTGCCTATAAGGAAGAAGGGCTGCCTTGGGAGACTATCACATTCAAAAATAATGAACCTGTTCTGGTGAGTGAGAGGACTGACAGAAGAGAATTGCTCCATCCAGCCAAGAGAGGAGTCTTGCTGTCATAGGGAGGAGATGCACCTGGGAATAACTTCTTCAAAGGGTGGTGTAGGTGGGAGTGGATGCCCTGTGCTGCTTTAGCTACGTGTAATGTGTCTCCTTTCCCTGCAGAATCTGCTCCTGGCCAAGCCACTTGGGCTCCTGTCTCTTCTGGATGAGCAGAGTGCATTCCCTCAGGTACACATGAGATAGGGGGCAGAGAAAATAGTGGGGGGGAATGTAGCAATAAATATCTAGGCTGCAGAGAGAGCTCTTATGTTGGAGTATGACTTTAAAGAGCAGGATGAGCAGAAGTGTTCCCATGTGTGACTGATGAGACAGGACAGACAGATCAGGGACAGTCTAAAGATACTGGCATCCCTGTGAAGAGTCAGAGAGAGACTACAGTGTGAAGCTGTTGCACAGCCAGGGCCACTTCCAACACTTTGTTTTGCTTCCATGTGCCCTGATCAGGTCTCTGTTGCAGCCTTATCGTTTGATTATGAAATCTGCTTTCTTGCAGGCAACTGATAAGACATTCGTGGATAAACTAAACAGCACCTTCAAGGGGAATTTAAACTTCCAGCCAGGCCGAGGCCATGTTTTGGGCTTCAGTATCATTCATTATGCTGGGAAAGTATGTATTGTTTGCAGGAAGAATGCTGTTGTAACCTATAGGAGGGGGGAAATGTGTTGCTTGACAAATCAGGCTTTAATGTTAAGGAGTATGGTCCGACAATGATCTAACAGAAGTGGTGTGTTCCCAGGGACTTGTCTTCTAGGATTCCCTGGGATTTCTGTAGAAGGTATAGGAAGAGAGGACCCCTGAGGGAAGTGGGGCTACCTCTGGGAAGCATAGAGTGTGAGAAGAATCTCATTCTATTGGAGCTCTAGTCTTAAAATAGTCCTTTATAAAATAAAAGCCTTGCATCCACTGTGCAGCACCAAAGGACCATCTAATGGCTTTACCTTTACCTATCGGGTTCCAGAGCGTAGCAGTCACTATTTTATTGAAAGCACTGAGGAATGCAGTGAGAGCAGCCAGGTGTTTGGGAAGTAGAGACAATTATTTATACGTTCAATGGTATCTAAGCAGCTTGGGGTTTAGGACTATGCATGTAACCTTATTGCTGCCAATTTAGAAAGCACTGGCCCAAATATGTTGAATTGATTGGAGATAATTTTTGGAGCAGAAGCAGACATGACAATTCAGGTCATTGTAATATGCAATTTAGTAATCTAATCTCACCATTTTTGACTAAGTTATTGCTTCTGACATTCTTTATTACAAAAATTAACACCTAATAAAGCAAGGAGAGTGGCAGGCTGGAGATGAGAAAGGAAGGCAACAAGAGAAACAAGGGGATGCATGACAACAGGATGGAAGCCTATTCAAAGGGAAGACGGGGAGAGCAAGGAAGAGAGTGAAGCATAAACCAAAAGTAAATGAAACTTCATAATCAAGTGAAGGAGAACAAGAAAAGGTGGATGTCTCAGTGTTATATTGCACTCCTGTGGTTCTAATGCCTCAGTGCCATCCACAGGGTATTGTTCCTCAGGATTTGCATTTGAATGCAGTGCATATGCATTTACAAAATTCATGTGCAAGCCAGTGTACAGAATTCACATTTGAGCCAGTGTACATTCAGTTTAACAGCTGCTCCTGGCAAGCTGTGGAGGTGGCTTTCACAGCAAGCCTGTGAGCATTGCCGGCCTTAGTGACTTGCTGCCCTTTCCCCTAGGTACAATATACTGCTGGGGGCTTTCTAGAGAAGAACAGAGACACCTTGCCAGCCAACATCCGTGGGCTCTTCATCAACAGTGTGACCCCCTTGCTCAGTCTGCTGTTCACAGGCAAGTCCCTCTGCTATGATAGGGTATCCCACATGAATCAAGGCCCACCTTGGCAAGAGTTAAGTGTGGGGATGAGTCTCAGTGTGCTATGAATGTGTTTCACAGCTGGCAGCCCCTGGAGACTCTGAGAAGGCTGCAGCCTGGGGTAGGTCTGCTGGCATATACTGAGCTGTCGGAGCTGTTTGTCGTCCCCCCCAGAAAGCAAGGCAGGTTGTATCCTCTTCCAGAGAATTAGCCACTGCTCAGATGTCTTCCCTCAGATCAGATAGCCCATCTTTTCCAGAGTCAGTACAGGACTGTTTCCACTGGCTCTTTCCATATGCTCTGTCTTGTCTAGAAATGAAGCTGGACAAGGTCATAGCTTCTAGCTGTTCACACTGAAAACAGAGTGCTGTAAGGCCATGAGCATAGAGATTATCCTTTTCAAACATATTATGTTTTTCAGGTACAACTTGTTAAAAAAACTCTGAGGGCGTACATTATTTTTTTCCCACCACTACACTCCCTTTTTCCAGTTATTGATACGCCCCCAGAGTCTCCAAGGCTGAAAGTAAAGGGAGTAAAAGTAAACATTTACAGAAAAGTCAGGTGCATGCTTCCTTGGAATTTGTCTGTCTGAACACAGTGCTTCTGCTTTTTTTTTTTTTTTTTTCCGTCCTGTTCAGTCCATGTCACTTTCTGGGATTTACAAGTAACTGATGAATTTAATTTCTGTTCTCCACTGTGTTTTTTAGCTCTTCTGCTCAGGAGTATCTTTCTTCATTACCACTTCCACACTGTTACCAAGATAACTTAGTCTAGTCCCAACTCTTTGAAAGTTCATGAACAGCAGAGATAGCCTGTTCTCAGATTGGTTGTCCAGTCCTGGGCAGCTGGCTCTAGGTGGCCCTGCTGAGCAAAGGGTTGGCCCAGATGACCTCCAGAGGTCCCTTCCAACCTCAACCATTCTGTGATTTTATGATTCACATGAGACTGTTGCATCAAGGGTGTGCAAGAGTGTCATTAGATCCTTCATTAAATTCAACTTCTCTGAATTTTTCATCTTGTCACTGAATTAGTTTTAAGCTATCTGACTTGATACAACCTCCTGTCTTTACTGCTGTAAATGAGCTTCCCTTTTGCAATCTGTACTTTTTTTCTGCATTGTTAGATGCCTGTTGATGATACTTCTTTTGAAGGTCATTTACAGTTGTTCAATAACCTGATTGCCTTGTCTTCTCAGTGGTAGAAAATAATATTGCCTGCATTGAATGCTTCATATTGTTTAGTCTAGAGAAGAGGATTGTTTAGCCTAGAGAAGAGGAGGCTGAGGGGAGACCTTATCGCTCTCTACAACTACCTGAAAGGAGGGTGTAGTGAGGTGGGTGTTAGTCTCTTCTCCCATGTAGTTAGCAATACAACGAGAGGAAATGGGCTCAAGCTGTGCCAGGGGAGGTTTAGGTTGGAAATTAGGAAAAATTTCTTCACAGAAATGGTAGTCAAGCATTGGAACAGGCTGCCCAGAGAGGTGGTGGAGTCACCATCCCTGGAAGTGTTCAAAAAATGGGTAGATGTGGCACTTCGGGACATGGTTTAGTCTAGTCTACCCTTGATTGGTTTAGTGTGGACTTGGTAGTGTAGGTTAATGGTTGGACTGGATGATCTTGAAGGTCTTTTCCAACCTAAACGATTCTATGATTCTATATATTTGCATTTTCTTCTCCCTTTCTTTAGCTCTTTCCTTGTATTTCCACATGGTGAAACCTAATGCCCTTCTGTGATTCAGTATTTGTAGGGAGACTTGTGTATGAAGTGATTGAATGTTTAGACATGGTTGATTGCAAGCAAAGGTACAAAACTAACTATTGTCTCTGTTCTTCCAGCCACTGTCTCCAGGACAGGGACATTGATGCCTCATGTGAAAGCCAAGGTATTGCACTTCAGGTCCACATGGCAATTGATAAATGATGGCATAGTTACCTGATATTTATTATTTGAGAAACTGGCTGAAAATGAGAGCAGACAAATTGGTTGAAAATAAGAGCAGACAGCAATCTGCTTGCAACAATTTCTCCTTTGTTTTTTACTGGGTTTTCTGCTTGCTTCTGCTGATATGTTTAACTTGTCTTCCCTCCCCTGAAATCCATTCTCTCCCCTTTTTGCATCTGCCTTCCAGCAGAGCTCTTTGGATGGCAATCAAGCGCTTTCTTTCAGGGGTGATCTTTTGTTTGGGTCTGGTTTCAGGTCATACCAGGAGCAGCTGATAAGTTCAACAGCACACGAAAACAGTCTGCCGGAGCTCAGTTCCGGGTAAAGTATTGCTGCCCTGCAGTGCCCCTTGAGATTAGTGCAGTGAAATTTTAGTGAGAGCTTCCAGGCTGCTAAACACAGTTAAAGCATCCTGCATGTAGAGGGGTTTTTTTCTGGGTGTCAAGCACAGCTGATCATGGTGGGTATGAGCCGGTTGTTATCAGAGCCTCAGAAATTGCTGAGGGGTGGGAAAACAGTTCTTGCTGCAGGATATTGCATGCTGGGCTCTGGCAGTGCTTTGGCTTGCTGGGCTATTGATCTTTCTCTGCCTTCACCAGCATTCCCTGATGGTGCTCATGGAGAGGATGTATTCTTCCAGCCCGCACTTTGTGCGCTGTATAAAGCCCAACAGCCAGAAGCAGCCAGGTATGGTGGACAACCAGGTGCTGCTGCTGCAGGTGAGGAAAAGCAGTGTCCTTTACAGGTACTTTTACCACATCTCAGTGGGGTGGACAGACCCCATCAAAAGGCTTTGGAGATAGCTGGAAGCTGACTGGTCTGAGTCTCCTCTTGCAAGAGAAAGAGTAGGCACACTTTCTATGCATGTAAAGGTTCTGCGTACTTGGTTGTTTTTGTGACACAGGCTGCTAGGTCCAGGTTTTGCAATCTTAGTTCTTTCCCATTTCTTTTTCATTAATGCAATGAGATCTGCTTGTCACACACTAGGATTCATCTTTGCATATCCTGGGTGGGGACTGGTACAGACAGTACTCCAGAAAAAATGATGCTTCCCAGAGGAGACTGTTCTCACCCATCAGCCAGGGCAACTCTGAATAGGAGTCAAGATGGGATCGCTTTGATAGGAGCTGAAATATGCTGATATGTCTGTCTTTGGATATTGTGCCAGGTCTGAGATCCAGATGCTTTAAAGAATACTAAAAATGAGCAGAAGAGTTCAGAAAGCTCTGTGGCCTGTTTAATGTATATAAGAAAGGATAGGATTAAGAGGGAAGTTCATCTGTGCCTCAGAGTACTTCTTTGTCCAGATTTGGAAGTAAAAGGCTATCCTCTAAGGGTCAGCAGCAAAGCAGTACCCATGGCTGGAAGGTGAAATTATTTCAGTCATTGGTTTTTATGGTTTACAACTTTTAACTGAGAGGGGTTAATCATCAGAGTTACAGGATGTGGTAAATCCAGTCTTTAACCAAGGAAGCATTTTAGAAAGGAACTTTTTGTTTGAACTAGGGAAGTTTAGGGCTGAATGAAGGCATTTCTGGCTGCAGAGAAACAAACCACATGTCCTAATGATCCATTTCTGTTTGATTCTCTGATCCTCTTTGTGGTGCTGCTTCAGCTCCGGTACAATGGACTGCTGGAGACAATCCGTATCCGAAGAAATGGTTTCTCCTGGAGACCCTCATTTAAGGAATTTGCTGAAAGGTTTGTTAAAACCTCTGAATGTTCCTTGTTAGATATTGTTAGGGAAGCGACCCAGGTAACCAGATATGGACAAGGAGTGAAACAGCTTCTTTAAAGTTCATGTGCCTGAGATCATGGGCTCATTTGCTGTGGGAGGCTGAGTGGGAAAGACAGTGATTTATTGCTGTTTGTTGTGAGCATGACATGGATCAGCTCAGCACATCAAGGATGTGGCTCTTACCTTGCTGTATTGGTTTGTTTTTCACAGATATGGAATTCTTCTAGTTAAACCAGATGTTTCCCTCACAAAAGAAAGGTAGGAACCCTTCCTTTGTTATGTGCAATCCAGTTTGTTCTTCAGAGAATTTTGCTCTCAGAGTAGCGTAGCAAACTGAGTAAAAGGGACAAAGGGAGGATGGTTTTTTGTGGTGATGGGGAACACAAATCCCTAGGCAAGGACAGTTAGTGTTTAAAAAGCATTTGGTACAATGATGAATGAAATCTTTCTTGAATTGCTATGTAGCGATTCAAGTCAATTACTATAAAGCCTTGCTATTCTGTGGAATGAGAACTGGCCAAGGTACTCAATTTAGGGAGTCGCAATAGTGGTCAAGGGACACCTTCAATTCATACATTGAATTCAGTATGGCAGGGGCTCAGCACAGTTGCCAGGTGCCTCTCCAGGCTTTTTCCTGATGGCCTCATGGAGAAGAAGAAGATAAACACAATGCTGAGTGAGCAGCCAGCACTGAATATCTTCTGTGCTAGAAAGGATGTTTCTGGTCCAAGAATTTTTTATGTGTACAGGCATAACATACCCCCAGCACTTTAAGAACCTGACTGTTCCTTACATACATAAATATCCCTCCAGCTCTGCGGTCTTACTCTGTCAGCTTTTTACTTCCTACATCTAGGGCAGCAACTCCCCACCTCTTCTTTTCCACTTTCCCAGTCCCTCCTTCCTGCCATGGTCAATTGTGACTGATAGTGAAAATGAAGCAGGTAGGGCGGTCAGCTGATTTTTTTTTTTTTGTCTTTTAAGAAAAACATTTGAATGTTCTCCTGGAAAAGTTGTCTCCTGGCAGTAGCTCCTCCAGCCTTCACAGAGCTTCCTTGAAGTTACTGATGATACTGAATTAATAAGAATTGCAAACCCAATTGAGACCCAAGTCAAGAGAGAATCTTATGGATGAGAGAAAGATGATGGTAGACAGGCTTCACAGTGTGTTTTCAGACAGAAAAATCAGGATACTTTTTGAGAAAAGAATTACTTTGGATATAGATTATGGCACAGCGGAAGATGGCTGAGATAGAAGGAAAACCACTTCTGCTTTGCTATGTGGGATACTAGCAAAAAGTGCAACTATGGTTTCGCAGCCTGGATTTGCAGGCAGAGGGAGGCAGCTGTCTGTGTGGTACAGCTAGAGTATTGCTTTCAGTTCCAGGTGTTGGTGAATCTTTCAGAGTGACACATATTTTATCACTGGAGTCTGCAAAATGAAACTGGAATTGGAGAACAGACTTTCTTCTGGAAGTCTTGCAGTGCTAAACTTGCAACTTGTGTGCTCCAAAGAGCTTGGAAATGAAATGAGGAAACAGTTCTGAGAATAAAATAGGCTCTGCAGAATTGCCTGCCAGGGAGTTGAAGGAAATCTGCCTCTAGGAAACCCGTTTGCTGATGTTCCTGAATGTGATCCTCCTGAATATGATCCTCAAGGAGCACTACAGATTGACAGCCAGTTACTGAATGTGATCGGGTGATAGGGGACAGAGAATGTAATGCAAAATCATTGAGACACTTTCTCCCCCTTTATGCATCTAAAACCACTGGCTGCATGGTGTTCACTTTGGGTGGAAAATTATTTATTTCACTTTTTTCCTCTCTTTCAGCTGCTTGGAGATACTGCAAAGTACAGAGCTGACAGGCTGGATATGTGGGTAGGTGTGGATCACTGTTGCTGGGAATGAGGGGCCTGAACTGCAGAGACTTTATACATGTAGACTGTTATCTGGTTCTCTTCAGGGAGAACTTTGTGGCTGTGGGAAAGGCCTGTTCAAAGGATGATTGGATGCAAGTTTAGACAAACTGTTTTTCACTGCTTCTTTCTTTCCCCAACTTCTCAGGAAGTCACGACTTTTCTTTAAATATTGGCACCAGGAACAGCTGGCAAAGTATGTGGAGCGACTGGAAAGAGCAGCAGTTGTCATACAGAAAGGTGAGCACTGGGGCAGAAGAATCCCTCAACTCTGATCTCAGACCAAGGCAAGGAAAAACTTTTCTCCAGTCCCTGCTCCACTGTTGCACCTTTGCAGATGACAGAAAGGCAGGCAGACGCCATGTCCATGTCAAGGCCCTGTGGAGTCAGAGTGCTTATTGCAGATGCCCACCTCCTCAGTGCTCATCCTCAGTCAGGAAGAGCCATCAGTGTGAGCCTTGGAAAGGGAAAGCACATGTGCAGGATAACTGAACTGAGCAGGGCAAGCATATGATTTGGCTGCATCCCAGGATCTGAGTAACCGTCCTTTGGAGCCAGGGCTTGTTTGTGAGTGGTGTTGAACTGAGGAGAGGGAAAAGAAGATGAGTGAAGCAGATTTTGTTCTTTCTTTCAGAGACAGGCAGAAGGGAAGAAGTTTTGTTTTGGTGTGGGGTTTTTTTCTTTCTTTTCCAGGTAGCATCTGCTCTGGCAGCCTGTTTCTCCAGAGCAGGCACTGTGGGCAGTTTGGTACTTCCTTCTGCACAGGCTCCATGAAGACTGTGCAACCAGGAGGAGAAGGCTGTCATCCTGCCTGGTCCCTCTCTGTTGTACTTCTCTTCTGTACGGGTTGTTGCACTGCTGAAGCATCTGAGCAGCTTCCAGCTATGCACCATACAGTATGACAAACATCAGACTGTCACATGCTGTGCCTTGTTGTCATCCGTGGGGAAGGTGTGTGGGTAGTGGGAAATGAGGGAGTGAGGCTTTCAGTTCATGTCTTTAGTACCTGGTAGAGTAGGCAGGATACTGCAATGTCTCTAAAGCTCCTGGTGAATCCAGTGATGGCTGCTTATGGGAAAGGTTATCATGTGGGCTGACACCAAGGAAATTCCGTCTCCTGCATGGAAGAGCTTTGCTTTTACTGAGTAGTGTCTGAAGGGTGGGGACATAGACGGTTAACAGAGGCCCTTCTGTGAGACTTTGGCTTTTAGATAAGCTAAGTGTCTTGGCATTGAGAACTTAGATCTGTAATTTGATTTTTTTTAAATCTGTGATCTGGCAGCTTAGAAAGCAGAAATAGTTCTCACATGGTTTTGACTGCCTGCTCAAGTAGAGTCTGCATTGCTCTTTATTAATGTGATTGAAGTGTCAAGGGCTTTGCACTGGATGAAGGAATATCACCCAGTGTGCTTCTCCCAGGGAGTGACAAAGGCACGATAAGCACTTTTTTTCTAACCACAGCTTTTCTCTGAACAGTTTTCAGGGGATTCAGATACAGGAAGAGTTACCTAAAACTGGTGGCTGAGCTGAGAGCTCAGGCACAGCGGCTACAGGAGGAGGCAGAGCGAGAAAGAAGCCGGCAGCTGGCAGCGGAAGCAGAGGCTCGGAGTGAGTTGCTCCCACTCCCACTGCCCCTGTGCGTGGCCACTCGTGCGATGATCACCTCAAAGTGCTGTAAGCTCCAGGTGATGGTGGCCTGCCCTCGGCTCTGCTGGGGCTGGGGGCTCCAATGATGCAGTGGGCAGGGAGGTGCCAACGTTTCTGCCATTTGAAAATGTGGCTTTCTCTGTGAGGAGCAGAAGCAGCATGGTGAAGGTCATTTGCCTGGCTGTGTTGGGAGGAGTGTGAAGCTGTGTCTTTCCCACACACTCTGTGCAGCAGAGCCTGTTCCTATCCTGGGCACGTGGAGGATGGGTCTCATGGGTCTTGGATGCTAGATTTCATCTACTTCTTTCCTCTTGTTGCAGAAAGAATCTCCCTTCCAGTCCCCATGCCACGAAAGAGGCACCCTCAGCCTTGTCCCCATCCTCCTGATAAGCCATCACAGCCACCAGTGCCACGGCCACGCAGCAAACTAACAGAGGTAGCAATATTGGCTCTGCTTGGGGCCCCTTAGCCAGGTGTGCTGTTTCCCTGTTCCTTCCACCTTCTGCATGCACATGTTCTCCTGCATGTGGTCCCAGGAGAACATTGCCATTCTTGTTATGAGAAGTGAGAGTAGTCCTTTCCTACTGTGGTTAGTTAAAAAGTGTGGTCAGGAACTTTGAGGAACTGAAAGCAGCATTTGATAGTTTGCAACTGATCTTGTCTTAAGGGACTCAGGAATGGGATCACTACCAAAGTGATCCCTTCAAAGGTCCCCTGCCTTTGACCTTGCTTTCATGCCTACTTTCCCCCTCTCCCCACTTTCAGTTCACTCCTTTTGATAACTTCTTGGACCCTTCTGCGCCTCGCCCTGTTCTGGGGACAGAGGAACAGACTGGAGAAGAGGCAAAAATGAGGAGACTCAAGAGAGGAGCAACTCTCCGCTGGTTCAAAGAGACGCAGGCCCAGAAGGTCATGCAGGATGATGGGGCCTTTCCAAGCTGGCTTCATGGAATGATCAGCCGGAGGTGAGTATGCTGGACACAGTGGCTGCAGCTTGGGCTGTGGCAGGCAGGCAGAAGCTGCTGTGTCCTTAGGAGGACTGCGTAGGTTGAATTTGCCAGGATTTGCCTCCTTAAGGAACAGGTGACCTGCATAACTTTTCACTTCTAGGCTGTGAGCTTCAAACCCTTAGGCAGAAGCTTGGAACTCCCCATCACAGGATGAAAATGTTGAAAGTTTACATGGGTCCAGGGAAACACTGTGGAAACTCACCGGAAACAAGTCCACTGTGGGTTCCTAAATATAGAATCCTGTGCAGGGAAAGGAGGCTTGGAAAGTACTTGGAGAGGAAATACATGCATGTGTTTACCCTGTTGTGGTCCATTTGCAGAGACATGATATGGAATGAAGATGGACTTTTGGTCTGACTCATTATGACTGTTCTCATATCTCAGTTCTCAGTTCAGAAGTACCTCGCACTTCACTCTTTTGGCTGAGCCAAGCACTACTTTCCAAGCAGTGTGATAATCAGAGAAATACTGATTATGCCAGTGATCACATAGGAGCAAGACAATGAGGTTAGCAGGTAGACATCAGAATTTCTGGCTGTAGTCTCCCCTGTGTGCAAATTAGTCTATGGTACTGCATGCTTGCTAACTGCCAGTGTCCCTTATTTGGTGGGATTTGTGTGTGGGCATTGCTGCCAAGCGTGCCTGTCATCTGAACACCCTTATCATCTTGTTCCAGTTTGTAACTTTTTTCTGTTAAAGCTGCAAGTCTCCTTTAGTCTTGTTAGATCACAAGTTCCTGGATTTTGTCAGCTTATCAGTGTGAACATTACTCAGCTACATTATACAGCACGTTAGCTTAATAAAGGACACTACAGTAGCTGACAACTCCCTGGTAGCTGCATTTTTTTTTTCTTTTTTTAAGGTAATTAACAGGTCCCCCACCTGCATTAATGCTTTTGTCCACAGATCCAAGAATACAGGAGAGGGACTAGTGCCTGGAAGACAAAACTGTCTGAATTCGAATATAGGCTAGCCATGAGCACTTCACAATGAAGGACATAGCAGATCCTTCCCAAAGACAGTGAAGATTAGATACTTTTGAAGTGGTGCTTCCTATTGCTGGATTTAAGTCTCCATACAGCAGTGTAAGCTCAGCCTCATGTAACACAGCAGCCAGAGCAATCCCAAACTGCACTGGTGATTTGCAGTCACCTTTAGCCTCAAGCAGGGCGTATGACAAGCACAAAGCAGTGCTTTGTCTATTGGGCAGAGAGGGGGAAGACGTCCTTCCAGCAGGAAGTTTAGAGAGCCAGGCTGGTGTAATCCAAGTTGGTGTTTTTCCAAGGCACTGGGCTTACCTTGTGCTGAGCACCACTACCCCACAGTATCCTGACTTCTTCCGTCAGCCCTGGAACATGAGAAATGCATTTGTGCACAGCCTCCTCATCTCAGTGATGCTGGAAAGCAACTGTTGCACTAATCAGACTGCAGGAGCAGGTTTGGAGCAGCTCTGCTTGGAGAGGGTCTGGCTGAGAGTGTTGTGCTTCCTCAGCCTGCTAATGCCTCCTTGTACCAGCAGGCTTGAGCCTGGAAGCCTCTAGCTAGGAACACATGGGGCAGATGCTGGCCTTCCTGTGGACTGGGAGCACTACCATGGCAGCACATGAGATAGGACGGGAATCCCTGCACAGAGGCAGCTGCTCACTGTCTGCTGAAAAACTCTCTCCTGCTTCCAGGGAAGCTGAAAACTTGCTGACTGACAAGCCTTTGGGTTGCTTCCTTGTTCGGATCAGCCAGAGCCGACCGGGCTATACCTTGACGTACAGGTAGGTAATAAGCCTTGCAGAGAAGGAAAAAGAAGGTTCTAAACTGAGAAATGCATGGCTGGAGGAGTTAACCTCCTCCACGGACAAGTCCAGAGAGGATAATGCTCAGCCTCTCCTGTTGCGGGTGCCTCAGACAGTTTGGAGTAGAAGACAGGACACTGCGGAGTCTGCCTCTTGCCAAAAACTAGATCTACTTGTGGGTGGGGTGCTGCGGCTCCAAGGGTGCAGGTCCTGCTTGGGCTGTGCTATATGGTTGAGTGGGCAAACCAAGTTGGAAGAAGCATTGACTGGAGCAGAGGAGATGAGTCTAGAGTGAGTCTAGAGGAGGGCCTGAGGAGAGGCAATCAGAGTGCTACAAGGGCATAGTCTTTGTACAGCCTCAGGAAAGGGGTAGGGCAGAGTTTTAACATGGACAACAGGCATGGAAGGTGGTACAGTCTGCTGGGGTTTGCTTATGGCTGCTGGGTTTCTCCTGACACTGACTTTGGGGAAATTGCTGCTCCTCCAGCTCCTGCTAGCACAGGGTGTGACACTCCAGCATGGTGCATCCTCTGCATTTTTGTGATATATGTTACTGTGGCTCCTGATCACATCTGGCCTGTTAGGACAACAAGTGCAGAAGGCAATGACTGGGTCCCAGAGAGACGTTGCGGCCCCATGTCATGACTATTTCTGTCTGTCCATTTCCCCAGGGGTGAAGGCCGCTGCAGACACTACATGATCGAGATGCAGCCCAATGCACGCTATGTCATCCTGGGGGAAGACCGGGCTCACGCCTCGCTCACTGAACTGATTTGGTATCACCAGACCGTGGGCATCCAGCCCTTCATGGAGATACTGACCGTTCCCTGCGGGCAGGTGAATGTCAAGGATCTGCAGCCAGAAAAAGGGATGGGGCATGAACTGTGCCCTGAGCAGACAGAGTCACTGCAGCAGCATCTCTCTTTTGTGTTCCTATTGGGAGTATCCTATTCTGGCCAAGCAGCTTGGCCTCTTCTGCATGCACCCGAAAATGCTACTAGCTGGGCACTAGGGAGTCCTGGGGTGGGGGAGAGGCCCTGGTGGGTGCATGACATGCCCCTACCCCTGAGTGTCAGCAGTGGTCACAGCTGGGTATTGCTCTTTGTTGTGCTATTGGGGCTGTGTGGAGGGTCTGCAAGCCACTGCTGAATCCGTTCTTCCCTCCCTCAGAAAAGTAGTGAGAGTTTAGATTACGAAGATCCAGAGTGCCTGGGGCTGGGTCCACCAGCAGCCAAGGGGGAAACCCCTCCAGAGGAGCAGCTCCGCGCCTCCAGTCCTTCCACCAGCGAACCTACTCTGCAGTCAGGAGCAGCCACAGTTCGCAGATGCATGTGGTTCAGGAGGACCAAGAACTGCCAAAACCAACAAAGCCTGGACAAGAGTAGTACAAAGCCAAGTTCAGGCAAGGAGAGAGGCAGCCAGCGAGCCTTCCCTCGCCTTCATGCTTCAATACGTCTGGCAATGCAGGAAATCCAGCAGGTGAGCTGGGGCATATCCTGTGCCAAGCCTTGCCACCCATGGCCACTATGTGACATGTGGAACTGCCCTACCCAGGGTCAGGAGAGAGGCTTCCACAGGTAGCACTCGGTTTCCTAGCTCCTGGGTCACAGGTTTTATTTGGTGGTCTTGGGTCAAGATTGTGTTCATTGGAGGTGCCAGGCTGGGGGAGACCCTCGGAGGGGCTTGCTGAGATGCCCAAAGAAAAGTCCACAACAGAAGTGGCTGTGATGTGGCCAGCGTCCCAGCCAGTACTCTCCTAATGCTGTCTCTCTGCTTCTCACTGCAGTTCTCTTCCACTCCCTTGAACACTTCTGGACAGATGCTGTCAAGCTCTCAGTCAGCACTGAGGATGTAGAGCCCAAGTGACACGGTAAGAGGAGACAGCACACAAGAGGGCAGACAGCAATTGCAGCTTCCCCGAGAAATGGAGGAGCAAAGGGGCTCTTCCCTTCCTGCTCCACCTGGAGTATCTCTTGGCCACCAACTACCTCAAAATAGAGCAGGAAAAACAGAGGGCAGTGACCAGCTTCCATTCCAGGACTGCAAAGAGACCAGGAAAATGGGAAAAATCGGCATAAGGTTGGGTTCCCAGAACCTGTGGTACACAGTGTGCTTGCAGTACAATAAGAAGGCTGCTGGAGGGAGCTCACAGTTTGTTAGAGGCCTGGGGCTGGAAGGATGAGTACTATCAGAAAGCATATCTGCATGCTACAATAGTCAGCTGCAGTGGCTTAACGTTGTGGAAAGAGGGACATATCAGAAGTGGGTGCTGGGCAGAGACCCCTGTGGGGAGGCAGGGGCAATGAGCCAAAGGCAAGGCTGAGAACGTAAGAAAAGGCAGCAGTCTGTGAGGACTTTAAACAAGGTCTCAGCAGCTGGAAACACAGCTGGTTACTGAGGCTGTAATATACTGGGTGGGTTACAGGAATATATGGAGTGGGCGAGGAAGGGCCATGTGACACAGCTGGCTATGCCCAATGCATTAATTGTCTAAAGCATCTAGTGGATGAGCAGCTCCCCTGTGCAGCCAGTGGGTAAATCCCTGTCCCATTCAGTTGCTGAAGGCAGGATGAGGCAGTAGTGGTGCTGTTGCACGCCTCTGGAAAGATCTGAAACCTTGCAGCCTTGCGCCAGGATTGCCGAGTTCCCTGCACGGTTCCGCTCCCAGGAATTCATGTTGGAGCAAAGCTCTTTAGCTGGGGCCTGTCTTGTCTTCCTTTTGATGGCTGAGAAAATCCTCTCCCTGAAGTGTTTGACTCAATTGCTTCATTCCTGCACGTGGGTATTGATGTACCCAGGGGTTGCTCCTTGTGTCTGAGGTTAGGCAGAAGAAAGGCAAAATGTGTGGGATCTGCATAGATGACTGCACGTGTGTTGTACTGGGATTGGTGAATGGAGCCCTCTCTTTATGTCCTTCACTGAGTTGTGTTTCTTTACTTTCTTGCAGGTCAAATTGGCTCAGTCTTATCCTCTTCCAGTGCTGCTGGGCCTTGACTAATTGGGTGAACGTATCCAGATATACAGCAGACTTCTGACTTTTCTTTTTCGTTTTTTTTTGTTTGTTTGTTTTTGCTGCACCCAGCTGGCCCTGTGCCTTTAGACAGGACTGCTGCAGAAATGAACTTTAGTCAGCACTCAGCCAGTCTCAGTGGCTGAGACTGCAGTATCTGGACCAGTCTCATCCTGGCAGAGGGAAGAGGATGGGAACAATCACAGTCTGCACAGATCCACAGTGCCTGACAGTCTTCATGTCAATACTTCAGCGTGCCTGGAGACACCTTGCCTCGCACTGTTAATAGTCACAAACTGGATATGTCCCAACAATGTGTTCTCTCACAGATACCTGTACTGATTTCCTACCTGTTTCTGTTCAAATGCTCTGTCTCTGTTTTGGTCCTGTGTATCCACTGCTCTGAGTGCCAAGGGAAGCTGGGTTTGGGCTTGGGAAGTAAGGAATGAAACCGATGTGTCCTTTTTTTGAGTGCAGGAGCACTTGAACAGGAGCTGAGACAAGAGGCAAGAAGATCTTTCTGCAGAGGGAATTCCCTGCCATTGCATCAGTGTGCTGGCACACTGCTCCCCAGTCCTTAGCCAGAGGTCAAGTCATGGAATTACTGGCAACACCCTCTTGTTCATCCTGGTTGGAATCACAAGTCTGGGCTGGACAACATCATACAACATCCTGTCTATGCTGAGAGTAGAGGGCTTGCAACATACAGGACCATGCTACTTGTTCTGTATTTTCTATGTCTTAAATCTCTTTTCTTCCTATAAGGAGAAGCTCAGCATTTTCTTTATTTCTGTTACCTGCAGTCAGTTCAGCCATGGACTGCAAATGGAGGAGAACAGCTAACACCTCTGAGGGTAGACACAGGATCATGTGAAGTATCTCAGTGGAGAAGCTGAAAGCTTGTGGGCCAGTCATCTTACTGTACAACTACCACCTCTAACAGTGCTCTCCTCCCATGCCAGCCTAATCTCCTGTGTATGCCATAGGCAAGACCTCCCCTTTGCAGCCTGCACCAAGCTCCCTCTGGCTCAGAGCTTCCCTGGCAGATCTCCCGCACTGCCCACCCCGCTTCACTCCTCCCTGGGAGGCACAAGTGCGGCTGAGTCCAGGTTGCATAGGCTGGTGCTGTGGCCAGAGAAACTTACTAATGTAATATGGGACGCTTGTGGCAGTGTCTTAGTGCTGCCTTTAGCCATGGGACTGTTTTTCTTCCTTCCCCTGTGCTCTCTGGAGCAGTAGTGCTGAGCTGCACTGGGTCACAAGGAAGCACTGCTGGGGACCAGACAGGGAAGCGGTGGTTATTTCAGCTTGACATCCTGGCTGTCCCCAGCACTGCCTTGCAGCATTAACACACCTTTCCTCTTCCTCATGCTGGGTTTTGGCAGTTGCTTTGAGGCTGTTCAGGACAGAACCAGTCCAGGCAGTCAAAGGCTGCTGTTTGCAGAGTCTTCCTGGCTAAGCCCAGGGGCGTTTTGCTGGGCAGCCTTGGCCTCTGTGCCAGTGTTCTCCTTGGCTTACTCCACCACTGGGCAGCTGGAAAGCCTGCCTTCTGGGTAGCACGTAGAACCACTTCACAGCCAAAACATTTCTAAGAACTCACTAAGGCACAGGACTGAGACATGTATGAGAAATGCATTTTAGTAACAGAGCTGCTCTGTAACTCTTTCGTAGTTCCTGTGCCACAGAGCATGGTGTAAGCCCAGGGCTAAGATCCAGCTGCAAAACACTGTTTGCTCCTGTAGCCTGGCAGGAATAATGCTGAACCAAGGAGAGTGGTGAAGAGCTTTCCCCCAGCAGCTGCCTCCAGGACCTCCTGAGTGCTGCTGCAGGCACAGCTCACAAGTGACACTGGGGGGAACAACATCAGGGGAGCATCCGGACACCTCTGGTGTCTGTGCATGGCACGTCTCCTGGCAAGCTTCCCAAAACCAGAGCAGATCAATCAGATTTATTTTGCCCCTGATTTGATGGGTGGGAAGTAGAATCGCAATGTGGGCAGCCAGGAGCCTGGCACAGACCCAGGCAGCACGCCTGGGCTGTCAGGTCAAGTTTCTTCCATCTCTGTTACTTCTGCTTTTTCTGTGACATGGCAAGGAGAAATCAAGGGAAGAGAAGAGCAAGAAGCTGCTAGGCTGAGGAGGTTACACAGCATTAGAGGCATTGGCATGATTTCTGCAAGGCTCTGGTTTGCAGGAGCATTAGCAAACACTCAATGCTCTGCCTATACGCAAGGTCTAGCCAAGCTTTTGGAGAGAAGTCTGTCTAGTGCTGGGCTGCTGTGAGGAGAAATGTGTGCCAGCAACGGGGAAAAGCTGGGAGAAGAGCTAGGAATACAATAGGCTGCTAAAGTATAAAGTGCAGATTTGGCATCTCTAGCATGGTCTTTGCCTGCATGCTTCCAGCTCATGGCCAAAGTCAGGCAGTGGAGCTTCAGCTCTGTGTGAGAGCATGAGTTATGCTAAGGATTTCTTTCATCTTCTCCCTGAAGATGATCTTATCCATTGAAGAGGAGCAGCTGCACGAGCAGCCCTGTCTCATTTCCTACGGCAGCAGCTTCCCTTGTGGCACTTGGAAAGTTCTATCTTAGAAAAAAAGAAGAGCAAAGTGTGTAAGCCAAAGTGGGAAGGGGATCATGTTATGTCACGTTATAGTTCAGCTGGCATGTGATGAACTGAATGGGATGTACTCACATAAAAGGCTGTGCTGGTTTTGGCTGGGATAGAGTTAATCTTCATAGTAGCTAGTATGGGGCTATGTTTTGGATTTGTGCTGGAAAGTGTTGACAATACAGGGATGTTTTTGTTACTGCTGAGCAGTGCTCACACACAGTCAAGGCCTTTTCTGCTCCTCACCCCACCCCACCAGCGAGCAGGCTGGGGGTGCACAAGAAGCTGGGAGGGGACACAGCCGGGACAGCTGACCCCAACTGACCAAAGGGATATTACACACCATATGATGTCATGCTCAGCATGTAGAGCTGGGGGAAGAAGAAGGAAGGGAGGGGACATTCAGAGTGATGGCATTTGTCTCCCCAAGTAACCATAACGCATGATGGAGCCCTGCTTTCCTGGAGATGGCTGAACACCTGCCTGCCGATGGGAAGGCGTGAATGAGTTCCTTGTTTTGCTTGGCTTGCATGCATGGCTTTTGCTTTACCTATTAAACTGTCTTTATCTCAACCCACAAGTTTTCTCACTTCTTTTCTTCTGATTTTCTCCCCATCCCACCGGGGGGAAGTGAGTGAGCAGCTGTGTGGGGCTTAGTTGCCAGCTGGGGTTAAACCACAACAGTTCTTTTTGGCACCCAACGTGGGGCTCAAAGGGCTCGAGATAACAACAAGTTTGATTGGAATGTGCTAGATCGAATTGATAGCTGTTATTGATGTTTAGCTACTAATTGGCAGGCTCCTGTGCTTGCCATGGGGCTTGCTTGCCTCACTCTATATTAGAGTCTAGGGCTCGACAGTGGCTGTTTTTTGCTTTTGCTGCTCACTGTACTGCTGTACTGCTTATCATCTTATTCTGCTGTGCCTGGGAACATTTTGATAATAGCAATGGTGATGTGCTGGGCTGGCAGATGGCCAGGGCATCGATTCTGCTTCTGTGCTGCTCTACTGGGCAGGCTGGAACTCCAGTGTGAACTTGAGTGGAAGGAACTGTGACCTGCAGATGAGTCCATGTGGGAGCAGGTACATCTTGAAGCATTTGTGGCTGTGCATGAGGTCATGCTGGAGCACCTCAAAGCATGTGGCCATGGATAAGCCCATGACCAAGCAGGTACACCTCTGAAGGGACTGCAGCCATGGGCAAGGCCATGTTGGAGCAAGTTCACTTCTTGAAGGGGCTGTGGCTGTGGG